CTGTTTAAAAATATTTCTCAGGCCTGGAGAAATGGCTCAGCGGTTAAGAACACTGGTTGTTCTTGCAGAAGACCTGGGTCCAAATCCCAGCACCTACATGGCAGCTAACAACTGTCCGTAACTCCAGTCCCAGGGGATCTGATAGACTCTTGTGACCTCCATGGGCACTGAACAATACAGGTGCACTTACCTCCATTCAGGCAATACGTGTATACACATAAAATAAAAATAAATAAAATTTTTTTAAAGTTTAAAAAATATATATTTCTCATGAAACTCAAATTGATTTACTTCCCCTGGGTATTACTTGTCATCACATTGTAGGCATGTCTGAATTTGACTTTGACTTTGATGGACAAATTGTTCTTACAACATATAGTCTTCCATGATTTGTTCTAAGGAGATGTGAACAAATCTTTATTTACTCCAACTGGCAATGAGAACAAAACAAAGAAATGATTGCACTGAGTTTATTGGGGGAAACAATGAGTTTATTGGGGTTACTTTCAGGAGCATGGTTGGGAATTTGTTTTTAAGATAATGGTCATTCAAAGGCCTTTGCATCACTGAAAACTCACCCCAGCGTGGTTGACAAATCACAAGAGTTGTATCTCTTCACATTAAATCTTTCAGGCTGCTGTTCTCCACCAGCAGTTTACAAGTGCTTAAAATTATAAATGGATAAACAACTTCCTTACATATTTAAGAGCAATTAATCTACTGTAATTAATTATGTAAGTCATATGATTTTTGTATCTGCAAAAGACATGACAATGGATGACCTTTAGTCACAAAGGTTGTGTCATAATTTTGTAGAACATCTAGCTTCTGTGATGGTTAATATTGCCAATTGACAGGATCTAGAATCACCTGGGAGACAAATCTCTGGGAATTCCTGTGACATGGTATCTAGATTAGGTTCACTGAGGTGGGACACCTCTCCCTAAGAATGAGTTACACTATTATGGAAGCTGGAATCCCAGACTAGATATAAAGTAGAAACCCAGCTAGACACTAGCATTCATTTCTCTCTGCTGTCTGCAGACACTGTATGTCCATCCACCTAAAGCTGTGGCCACCATGATCCCACACCTTGATGTAAGAGACATACATGTGTGCATACATATGAGACAAAAAACTCTTCTTTCTAAAATTGCTTTATCAGGCATTTTGTTACAGTAATGATAAGTGTAAAGCTGATACAGCTTCCAGTGAATCAAATAAGCAAAAACAAGGTCTCTGTCTTTGATTACACATTCACAAGTCATCACATACAGTAGAAAGAAGTCAGAACATTTATCCTAAGCTCAAAGTCCCATGTGACTTTGTGCATTCTTCTCAACCCATTGCATGAGTGGCTGTGAGCAGTTTTTTCCTCAGATCAGTCATTTGAAACTGAGCTGAGCCTCACTCTACAGGGATCAGTCCTCTCTCTCTCTCTCTCTCTCTCTCTCTCTCTTTCCATCTTCATGCCCTGGTGGACACATTTTTGCATGTCAGAACCTCAGCTTTTACACATGAGAAACAGCATCACACCTATATGAATACTGAAAATCGACAAAGGACGCAATGGTAAGCCATATAAATAGCATAACATTCTCCTTTTTGGATATCTGTTATCCATATCTACATTGTAAAATATGTTTCTCAACTAGTTCTATCTGAAAGACATACATCTTCAACATGTATTTTTCAGTTAATATATAAATAAGCTATATTACAAGAGAAAAATCTTAAATAAATAAGCCCAGCAGTATGAAGGGATTTATATGTGAAAATAACCCATGAACAAATAGTCTTACATTTCTAAAATTCACAGGATTGTGCCTGAGCAAGGGTTTAAGGGCACTTAACACAGTAGGCATGACCACATAACTATGTTCGACTTTCTAAACTCTGTTCCTCAGATTGATTACTTTTAAATCATTCACCTACGTAAGTTTGTACACATTACTCACTTTTTATTTTTCCATCCAATTAGCACTAACAATGCACATATACAACAAAGTTTATGTTAATTACATGTTAG